ATCACCACCATCAATCCCAAGTTTGATTAGTTACTTGGTGAAAACTTTCATGACAAAAGAACTTAATTTATCAGTTCTTGCAGATCTTTACAGTGAACTACAAGTTTCTTGCCAATAACTCCATTGCCTTGTTCAGGTAGAATATCTGTTTGATCAAAAAATCTTGCAAGTGAGTTTCCTAATGCAGGAAATTCGGAGCGAATGTTTGGCTCAGTAATTCGGACTGCTGAAACTTGGTTCAAAGTTGTCGCTAACTTTTTCACGTTTGCGTTTGACAATCCAGTATTGATTTGCACTTGAACAAGATCCCCTGCAGTAACTAAGGATGTTGATCCAAAGAGTCTTCCTGCGCTTGAAGGATCTATAAGTAAATATTTTGGCAATTTTATATAAGTTTTACAAGTTGTTACAATTAGAGTAACTGACTTTTCTCAAGAATTGACTACATTTTTTCATTGAGAACTATAAAAATTGAACACATTTAATTATACTACAATAAAGTCATTTTGCTTGAGCCAGACAAATTGTTCCTTGAGGGAAAGCATCTGTGCCAGCTATTGCAGAAGCTGGAATTTGCTTTGTTGAGCAACTGTGCTGTCATTTGATGCCAAAAGTCTCATATTTTTACGAAACTTAGCTTCAGTGCATACATGAGAAATTCCTTTTCCCAGAACCGAGGGGCAATTGGAATATCTGTGGTCAAAGGTTGAATTTTTATTCACAGCTTTCTCTTCACATGTTGTCATTTTTCTGACTTTTTCAAGAGAATGGGATTCATTTAGCTTCAGGTGCCCAACTTGACATATAATGCAATCACAGATCAGTCCGCTTGCAGGTCGCCTGACATTAATGGTTTCAAAGTCATAGAGTCTTGGCATGACAACCTCTTTTCCATCAAGTTTTCTGCGCAGTGTTGAACGACATCCTTCACAAATCCCAATTGGCGTTCGTTCATCTTCAAAGTCGATCTTTTGTTCAAACATACTTGAAATTTCCTGTGCCATTGATGGTAAAATTGTCTTTGTGCTTTTCTTCAAGCACAAGAAACACACAGTTTTTCGGCAAAATTTGTGAATTGTAGTTTGATTGGGCATTTTGAAAGACTAAATGATTCAAAAATGTTAAAAATGAGTGGCTCTTTATATTGATGTATTGAGAATAGCCCTTGCCCTTAATTTTAACGCCAATAATGGCAAAAAATCAATTTCACGTAAGAAATACGGGTATGCTCTTTTTGCAAAGTCCTAAAAACAAAAAAACAATGTTTTAGCTATGTAATAATAAAGTTATCACACACTTAAATTTTTTTGTATACTGTAAAAATGCAAAAAATAGTTATGCTGTCATTTGTCTAGTTGCTGTAATATAATAAAAATAAAAAAACTCGTTTTATTTTTCGAGACAAAATAGTTGGATTTCAAATTTTATATCTTTGAAATCCAGACATTAAGGGCTTTTATATGCACCCAGCCATTTCTCTGGGTCAGCTATATACAGTTATCATAAATTCTGGCTGGGGGTGAAGTATATATATATTTATATATATATATATATATACATATATATACATATATATATATATACATATATATATATACATATATATATATATATATATATATAAATATATATATATATATATATATATATATATATATATATATATATATATATATATATATATATATATATGTTTATACATATATATATATGTATATATATATGTTTATACATATATATATATGTATATACATATATACATATGTAGATATATAAATATATACATAAATATATGCGGTAGTAGTTATATGCGGTAATGGTGTAGTGGTAAAACACTCGCTTCATAAGCAAGAGGTTCCCAGTTCGATCCCCACCACGTCCCTTGTAGTACCCTGCTCAACTTGTTCTCCGCGCAGCAACCTTGTTCGTCAAGGTTCATGTTTCGAAGTTATAGAGTTGAGAGAGGGTTATAACCACTATTAAGTAGCCTCCTCATCTGTAGTGGCCTTCTCGGCCTTGAGGAGGTGAATAACAAAAGTATATATATACATATATATATATATATATATATATATATATATATATATATATATATATATATATATATATATATATATACACACATATATATATATATATATATATATATATATATATATATATATATATATATATATATAATATATCTTTTTCTTTATATGTAATTTACTTTTCCAGTCCCATAAAATACAGGTCATTACCAAACCAATCATCTCTATACTTATTTATTTCACACAAATTGTTTCTATACTTATTCTTTATTTCCTTAGTTTTAGTTTTAATTTTTTAGTTAACAGTAGAAAAATTATTCATTAAGAAAAATTGTTTTAAAAGCAAAAAAATTAACCACCTTTTCCACATACGTAGAGCTTACAAGAAGTGTATAAAATATCGGACTTTACCAAACCAACCATAAAACTGATTTATAAAATGGTTTGGTTTCTTACTAAACACATATTTTCGATAGTTTAGTGGTTTAAAATTAATTTATAAATAGTAATTTTAAATCATGATGTTCTTCCAACCAGGGTATTGCTGATGCAATAAAACAATTTTTGAATTAATTACTCTGCCCGTCTGTCCAAACCTGTAGTATTTTAACACTTGATTCAATATGGTTAGATAACAAATTATAAACAAATACAAGAATTAATACTTTTGAGTGGCTTAAATCATCTGAAACTATGACAGCTGATGAGCATGAATTTCGATACCAAAATACAGCAGTAAACACAGTAACTTGACTCTTGTACCAATATGCTGACTGCACTTCATCTTGCCACAAAGTTGAAAAATTTTCAGCAAAATCTACTTGAAGAACAGCTGTGTCTAGATTA